TTCTCCTCGCGTGGCCACAAGCTGGGGAACTAAGGATTGAGGAGCCAGGAGCAAGCAGGCAGCTTGAATTGGGGAAATAGGCTGCTGCATTAGACATGCAGTAGGGTTTGTGCAGTGGCTATCATGGGAGGCGCTTGGTCGTTCCTGAGAGCAGAAGCAAGCAATGGGAGTGTCACAGCGCATAAGAATTCGTCTCCTGTGTTACTGGCTCCCAGGATGGGGATGCCCCCACATGCCTCCAGCTTGTACTTGAGATACACCTGAGGATGGGAGGCTCAGTCGCCAGAGAAAGCTGCTGAGTTGATTAGCATAGCTTTTCTGTATGGGTTGAGCTGGAATGACTCCACCCCCCCCTTGCACTCTCACGTCTTGGTGTCTGCCCCTCCGCTGTCCCGAAGTCTTGGCATCCCCTATTCTTCAGGAAGCCTTTCAATAGTACAGACTCTCCCAGACAGATAGGTCAGGAGGCTGTTTCAAGATGCTGGATTATGCACTCACAGGAAATGATCGAGTGATGATTCAAAGCCCTTGCTGAATGCTGATGATACTACCGAGCTGTGCTCCCTGATGGATTCTGCCGTGATGAAAGTGAATGCCTGCAGTTAAGGCGCGCATTTCACACGCGTCTCTTTGTATTATGGCGAAGAGGGGAGCTGACGCCTGTTAGCTAGCCCTCGCAGATCTGGGGGAAGGTTCTCCAGGTTGAGTAAACACGGGAATCTTCTGTGTGACAGCAACGGGCGCTGCGTTACGAGCTTGCGGGGGTTCTCCAGCCAGATCAGCCAGTTCTGGAGCTGCTCTGTGACCTCGCCACGTAATTCCAGCCTACCCACATCCAGGTATCCTTTCTACACGCATTTGCTCCATCGCTTATGGTCCACCACCTATCTCTTTAAACCCCACCCCACCTCTCCCCTAACTGGCTCTATTCCGGAGCTGTATCCTCTTGCCCATCCCGCATCCGTCATTCCATTCTATCTTTATGAGACCAGAGCAGGGTCTGCTCATGGTCACTCTACGTGGGTGATCCTTACAACGTTGTCCAATGCACTTGAGTAAACGTAAAAATGTTACTGCGTGCTTGTTAAGGGTCTTTAGCATCGGGCCCTGCCCAGTTTCTTGGACTCTGCCTTGCACGAGCAGGCAAGCCTTTCCTGCCCCAGGGCCTTGGTGGAGCTTGCGTGGGGGCCTGCTGCCCTGATACTCGATTTCATTAGCTCTCACAGTTTTGGCTCTTCTCAACTTCGATCTCAGCTAGAGTCATCTTCGTTCAATATAGATCCTCCCTGAGCGTGCCTTATCTATAATTGATCCCTTGAACTCTCTTGTATAGGCCGTTTCGTATTATTATTCAGTTTACATGTTGCGTGCTGCCTTCACATAAAACGGGCTATGTGCACGGAGAGGCAGACCCTGCTTGTTACGTGCCCCTGCCCGAACCTGTCATATCCGCGTGTGGCTGCATCTCTGCAGGCAGCACTAGGGATGTGTTGGATGATAAATAAACAGCTCCTGCCTTCGTGCAGTCTACAAGGGGTAATTTGCAATCCAGCCCCTTTGGGAGATGCATATGAAAATGCCCAAGGCCTCACCCATAAGGACTTGCATTTAAGACAAACTGCCGTCTCCTGGTTGGCCATTGCTCTTCATATTCCGCCGCCTAATTTCCTTTTATTTTTTTTTGTTTTTGAGAGCAGGAGTCTCAATTTGATTGCCCAGGGTAGAGGCGTCCGTGCGTCGCCTAGTCAGCAACTCACTCTGGGTCAAGCAATCCTGCTGCTCAGCTTCCCAAGTAGGCTGGGATAGTGTGTCGTTTGTATGGAGAACATACTGGCCAAAGGTACACTTTATTGGAGTCCTCCCACCTACTCTTGTCTTCCTACCCATCACATGCTTGCTACTTGGTGATGAAATTGGGAGAGGAGGAGGAGGGAGGAGTCCATGCACACAGCCAGGCCTGCTCTGTGCCCATAATCCTCAGACCTCCCTGACTTCTAGCAGACTACCTCACCCAAACTGGCCTCCCAAGACCCTTACTGCCACCCTGTAACTGTTGTTTACTGTTTATAATAAAATGCTTATTGGGTGAGGGTGAGGTCATTGAAACAGGAATTTGGTTGCCATTGCTCACCTATAGAGTTTCAGTCCCTGCAACAGCTTTCGGCTACCAGGAAGTACTCCCTTCTTGCTAGAAGAATGAATAAGTGAATGAGCAAATGGCCAAACCAGGAGAACTGGCCAGTTTTTCTTAAATGAAGTCCTCCCATGGGACTCGGGAGGCCCTTGGGCAGTTTTCATGTGCATCTCCCTAAGGAGGGCTGGATTGCAAATACCCCTGTAGACTGCACAAAGGCAGGGCTGTTATTTATCATCCAACAGACATTCCCTGTGTGCCTGCAGGTGCCAGGCCCTACACGGGATGTGGCAGGTTCGGCAGTGGGCAAGTCAAACAGGGTTCCTGCTCTCGTGCAGCATGCGTTTTAATGTGGGAGGCAGACAACATGTTGTAAATGATATAGATGAAATAGAAAAGGCCTGTAACAGAGAGTTCAAAAGGGAATCTAATTTAGATAGGGCAGTCAGGGGAGGCATTTTTGAGAAGGTGACCTTCTAGCTGAGATCTGAAGGTTGAGAAGGAGCCAAACATGTGAAGAGCTAATGGAATGATGTTCAGGGAGAGGGGCCAGAACGTGCACAGGCCCTGGGGCAGGAAAGAGCTTGGCCTGCTCGTGGAAGGCCAGAGGTCAGGGAAGTGGGCAGGGCCCCGTGTGAAAGAGCCTTATAGCACGCAGTGAGCAGTTTAGTTTTTACTCGAAGTGCATTGGACAACCGTTGTAAGGTTCACCCAGGAGAGTGACATGATCTGACCCTGCTCTGGCTTCTAGATGGAGAATGAATTGGGGATGGGATGGGAAGCAGGATACATCTCTGGAAGTAGAGAGCAGTTAAGGGGGTGAGAGGTGGGGGTGATTTAGAGAGGATAGGGTGGTGGCCATAAGGATGGAGAAAATGTGTAGAAAGGAGACCTGGATGGAGGTGGGCATGGGTTAGGTGGGGAGGTCACAGAGCCAGTCTCCAGAACTGGTAGATTTCTGGCTGGAGAAACCCAGCAAGGCTGGTAAACAATGCAATGCCCAGTTGCTGTCAAAGAAAGATTCCGTGTTTATCAGACCTGTGAGAACCTTCCCCCAGCGTCTGCAAGGGCTGAGCAGTAAAAGCTTCCACTCCTGCTAAATAAAGAGCCCGCGTGTGAATGGCGCCTTAACTGCAGGTGTCTTTCAGACGGTGTCATGGGAGCACAGCTTGGGTAGAGTTATCATCAGCCATTCAGCATGGCTTTGAATCATCTCATTCTTTCTGTGGCTGTCCCTAATTCTAGCATTTGAAAGCCTGCCTGGACCTAATCGTCTGGGAGAGTGCTGTACTTTGAAAGGCCTTCCTGCAGAAAGGGGAGCAGCTTTGTGGACCCGGAGGGCAGAACCAGACAGTGAGAGGTGCAAGGGTGGGGGTGGAGATTCCAGCTCAACACCATAAGGAAGAGCTTGCTAATAATCAGAGCTTTCTCATGGGGATGAGCCTCCCATCCCTAGGTGTATTCAAGTAGAAGCTGGCAGGATGCT